CAGTTTATAATTCATCAAACCAAACTGAGCCATGGATATCCTCTTTAGGGTAAAGAGACCAAATCCTCTTTAGCTTTCCAGTTTGGGCCTGAAAAAATAAAGCATGCTATTGTGTTTGACTTGAAATAGTCCAAATTGATCATGTGTCTTTGAAAGCACCTACTGCAGATGGGAAAAGCTAGCCTTGACTTCTTCCCTCTCCCTTCTTGGTCTCTCATCTCTAATTTCTCTAAATGTATGAAATCATGCCCTCTCCGCCCCCAACTGAAGATTAATGGCCAAAAGTAAGAGGAAATAAGGATTGGGGTTATGTACAGTTAAGATTAAACATATGACCAGCATAGAAGCAAATGAGATAGAGCTAGCTGGTTAGGAAAGAAAGGAAATTAGGAAATAAATATTACCGCCACTATTCTGGATCAGTGTTTTGGAATGTTGTGTTATATATCATGTTGCTGTTGTTTCTTTTTTTTTTTTGCTTTTAATCCTCTGGATACCATCTAAAATCAGTATTGTGAGATCAGCAGTTGCATATATTGTTCAAATAAATAAATCAATATTAAACGTATTTATTATTATTTATTGATGAAACAAATTTATGTAGCCACACATATCCCCAGATGATTTCAGTAGTGAGCTGAGAAAATAAGAAGCCACTTGAGATCTATGGCCCATGAGATAGTTGTCCAAGCATAGAACACGCTTTTAACAATTTTGGATAGACTGTGATATTTGCTACTAATTTTTGGTAGCAATATTTTGGGGTCTCCAGGAGTGGCAAAACGAACCTGAGACATGCATGCAGCTTCTTGTGTGTAGCCAAGATGTCTTCCCTGCTTCACATGCCTTCTGTAATGGTGTCTGACACTTTTTTCCTGAGAGGTGAATTTCTTTTCTGGCTGATGATAGAGCAAGAACCCTCTGTCCCAGTGTTCTGCCCCAGCTACGGACCCCAAAGAATGCAGCACACACAAATTAAATCAGTCTTTTCCAAATAAAGGCTGTTAATTAACTTTCTTAACAGCCTACAAGAATCCAAAGAATCAGAATCAGCTACTAGCTGCACAGGCCTCTGACAGGCCACAACACCTAGTCATAATGTACCGTATTTTCCAGCATATAAGATGACTGGGCATATAAGACGACCCCCACTTTTCCTGTTAAAATATAGGGTTTGGGCTATATACTCCGTATAAGACTACCCCTCTTCCAACGCACACCAAATAAAAATTAAAAAACATCAACTGGCTCACCCACAATGTAAAACAGCTGTGCTGGACCCAAAATGGCCCCTGCAACAAGCAGGAACCTCACACAGCCACAAAAAGTCCAAAAAAACAACTTTCACACTTTACACACACACAACACAACACAACTGGCTCACCCACAATGTAAAAAGCAGCTGTGCTGGACCCAAAATGGCCCCTGCAACAAGCAGGAACCTCACACAGCCACAAAAAGCTCAAAAAAACAACTTTCACACTTTACACACACACAACACAACACAACACAACACAACACAACTGGCTCACCCACAAGGTAAAAGCAGCTGTGCTAGACCAAAATGGCCCCTGCAACAAGCAGGAACCTCACAGAGCCACAAAAAGCCCCCCCCCAAAAAAACAACTTTCACACTTTACACACACAAAATTCCACATACAGCTTTGTGAGATTTTGTGTCTTTGTGTAGTTAAGAGTGAAACACTACAGAAACACACTAAATCTCAGAAAGCTGCACAAATATTATTTTATTTTATTTTATTTTTATTTTTATATGAAAGCTAAATTTAAAACTTCCTAAACTTTAAATGGCTAGGTCTAAAAAAGAACAACTAAAAAAAAACCCCAATTAACTATTTTTTTTTTAAATCTCCCAAAGGGGGAAAAACTTACCCAATAGAACAGGGGTCTCCAACCTTGGCAACTTTAAGACTTGTAGACTTCAACTCCCAGAATTCCTCAGCCAGCTTTGCTTTGCTGGCTGAGGAATTCTGGGAGTTGAAGTCCACAACTCCCTGCCTGCTTGATTGCAGGCAGGGAGTTGTTTGCTGATGGAATGGATTCAGGCAAGCGAAGCAAGGCAAGCGTTGCGACTAGCAGCTAAGGTAAGCAAGCTGGAGGGGGAAAACTTTTTTCTTTTACATGGCTCTGGCGATCCCAGCTGAGTTGCCTGATTAGCAGGCAACTCAGCTGGGATGGTCAGAGCTTGGCTCGTTAGAGCCTTTTGGGCTGGTCTGCCTGGTTACAGGAGAACAACACCCGGCGTATAAGACGACCCCTGACTTTTGAGAAGATTTTCATGTGTTAAAAAGTCATTTTATACGCCGGAAAATACGGTACTTGTCCGAACAAAGGGACTGTAAAGGTCTCTGTATCCCCACACTTGGGAAATTCTGACACCACCACCCCTCCCTCATATCTCTATCAATTTTCCTCCCTCATGGTTTTTAGAAGATCTTTCAGGACAGTTTTATTTCACCAGGCTTTCAGTTCAAAAGTTTTTGGGCATCTGAGGTAAAAAAGAGATTGATTTAATACAGTTGATTTTTATCATTGTTGTTTTTATCATTTTGAATACTCTTTTTTTTAAAAAAATTGATTTATATGCCGCCCTTCTCCGGAGACTCAGGGTGGCTTACAATGCATAGTATTGTAATCTTGTAGTATTAATCAAGAGCTGTGGTGATCCAGGGGTTAGAATGCAGTACTGCAGGCTAATTCTGCTGACTGCCGGCAGTTCAAATATCACTCTAAGGTGACCAGACGTCCCGCTTTTGGCGGGACAGTCCCGATTTTTAGCAATTTGTCCCGCGTCCCGCGGCGTTTCAAAAAAGTCCCGATTTTTCATTCTGCCTCCTCAGTCCCGCTGCCTCTTGAGCCCCAGCTGATGGCTAGAAGAAGAAAAAACTGTTTAAATTCTTGCCCGGGGCTTCAAAGGGCCGCCCTACAGGCAATCAGTGTAAAGAGTTCCTGAAGCAGTTTTTTTTTCCCCTAGCTAAGCTGCAGAAACGAAACCGAAACCAGGATCTTTGGTGCAACGTGACAAAATGAGGCAGAGAGAGATTTATTTTTATTTTTATTTTTCGTCCCCAAAAAAGGTAGGTGAAAAACTGCAAACAATGGGAAATTTAGGAGGAGAGTTCAAGATTTTAAAACACAAAAGAAAAAAAAGCTGTATTTAACTAGGGAATTGTAATAATTGAGATACAATTGTATATTGTGTTGAAAGCAGAAATGGTTAAGTTGTGGTTCAGAGGAATATATGGGGGAAATTATTTGGTTTATTATTATTGGTAAATATAATTAATTGATTTGTAAGAAATTGGATTGCATGGAAATAATAGGAATATTCATGTTCATATTGATTAATATACAAAAAAGATAGTTTTATAACTAATTGATTTATATTAAAATGTTGAATTTGTATTAAACAACTGTATTACATAATTACATAATTAAACAATGTGAGGATGGATATAAAAATAGATGACAATGGGAAGGGGTATAATATAGAATAGAAGGGAAAAATTGAATTTGATTAAGATTAGAGATGAGGATGAAGGGTAATATTGGTTTTTTTAAAAAAATAGATGAGGAATAAATATGGCAAAAAGGAAATATAGAAATTGTAAATTTAATTGAAGTGACTAAACACTGTTTAAATTTGTGAACCGGCCAAATACTCTGTTCAAAGAAAATAAATTGTATGTTTGTATGTGTGTTTCTAATTACTGCTATTTATTCATATTTGTTCTCTTTTATTCTTTAAAGTTTAACCATTCATTCTTTATCTTAATATCTTTATATTTGTTTGGGATTGGCTTTCTTCCCTTTCATCTTTTTTATTGTACAGCAATCTTTTTCCTCAAACCTACCACCTCTCTCTTTTCTTTCCTTCTTACTTTCTCTTCCCCCCCTCTTCTTCTCCTCCCTACTTCCTCTTCCTTTCTCCTTCTCCTCCTCTCTTCCTCCCCCTCTTACCTTCACTCCTACTCTAATTTCCATTCCTTCATCCCTCTCTATTGCTGTATCCTTTAATGCATATGGACTACTCAGAGGACTGAAAAAGTTATTTTTGACTGGTCCTCACACTTTTGACCAGTCCTCGAACTTACGACTGTCTTCACATTTTATGTTTTTTGCTCTATCTTATCACCATGGTGAAGAGAAGCAGTTGTGAAATGAGTGACATGGTTGTTAAGGATGCTGCATGGGCATAAATGTGAGGATGGTCATAAGTGTGAGGACCAGTCAAAAGTGTGAGGACCTGTCAGAAATGATTTTTTCAGCCCTCTGGTTAGTCCTTTTGTGCATATGGACTACTTAGAGGGCTGAAAAAGTTATTTTTGACTGGTCCTCACACTTTTGACTGGTTCTCACACTTATGACCATCCTCACATTTATGCCCATGCAGCATTCTTAACAACCATGTCACTCATTTCACAACTGCTTCTCTTCACCATGATGACAAGATAGGGCAAAAATGTAAAATGTGAGGACAGTCGTAAGTTCGAGGACTGGTCAAAAGTGCAAGGACCAATCAAAAATAACTTTTTCAGCCCTCTGAGTAGTCCATATGCACAAAAGGACTAACCAGAGGGCTGAAAAAAGTCATTTCTGACAGGTCCTCGCACTTTTGACCCACCCAGTCACGTGACCAGCTAGCCACGCCCACAAAATAAGCCATGCCCACAATGTCCCTCTTTACCAATGTTAAAATCTGGTCACCTTATCTCACTCACAAGGTTGACTCAGCCTTCTATTCTTCCGAGGTCGGTAAAATGAGGACCCAGATAGTTGGGGGAAATAGGCTGACACTGTAAACCATTTAGAGAGGGCTGTAAAGCTCCGTGAAGTGGTTTATAAATCTAAGTGCTATTGCTATTGTTAGTTTTCACAATTTTAACTTTTTGCAACCTGCCCAAACTGTTTTGAGACGTGCAGGCTATCAAATCAATAAACTAAATAAGTATGATAAAAAAAAAAATCTCCCAACTTACCTTTGGTTCACTGGCTGGTGATCGAATTCAGAGTGCAAGTTCCTTCTGCATGGGAGAAGAGAAGACAATTAAGCCTGGCCCAACTTTTTGTGTTCTTGGTTTCTCTTATTGCTGTATCAGTTTTAAAGCTGTTCATGTTTGCTTCTTTTGGGATTGATTTACTGTATATGCTTATTTTCTATTGTGAAATAAAGGCATTGCAAGCTGCTGTGTAGGCCCAAATTGTTCTATTTGTGAGAGATGCTTTTTCCACTTGAGAAAGGGGAAGGGAGACAGCAGTTCAATATTGGCTTCTTATCTGCAGAGCTCTCATCACATTTTGCAGTCAGATGCCATAAATCTTGCAAAACAAGCCAATTGCTACCGAGCCTTTCAACATTCCTAGAACTTCAGAATACACAAGGCCAAAATAAAAGCAGGCATGTTGAGTTATTGAAAGAACTCCTGAGCAATGCCACTTGCGGCTTGATTACAGTATCCAAGAATGAGTCCCAAATTGGAAACTAAGTGAAAGAGCAAGAAAAATAGCAGGAGGACCTCACTTCCTTAATTCCAGAATCATCTTTTTTTGGCCAGCTTGTAGGGAAGATAAACTTCCCTTGGAAGATTTGATAGAAAAATGGCTTTTTAACACAAAAGGAAGCAATAATACTTAGCAGCTTTAATAATGCCTCTTCAAAGCCGATGCTGCAGAAATAATATAAGGGAAGCTTTACTTGAAAATGCTCAGAGTGAATTCTTCACTCTCACCAGGGAAAAGATAGACACCTCATCAACTATGTCATCTAAAAGTGGACTGGACAAAGCCCCAGAATAATATCCTGTAGTAAACAACCTTTCCTTGCCTCCTAGGAGATTGACAACATGACAGCCTTAGTTGCTGTTTTAATTCCAGATCCTAAAAATAGGAGGAGAAAAAAGCCTGTAAATTTTAAGCCACACACCAACTTTAAGAACGATTGAAGAACTGAGGAAAGCCAGCCAAAGTAAGGCACTGGATGAAAACAGCTTTTTCTTACTAGGCCAAGGAATCATGGAAATAGAAAAGTAAACTAGGAATTAATTATTAGTCACTCTGACTATAATAAGCATCCCTAAAATTGTTTTCTTGTTTTTCTTTTAATCTAAATTCCACAATAGCAAGCAGAGAAAAAGAGCAAATTCCTGCCCACGTTGTGCTACAGACAAATGCATATTTATATGTAAAACTATTTTTTGCCGAATATATACTAAACTGGTGGAATTCACCAAACACGATGCAATGATGGCTGCCAACTTTTATTTATTTACAAAAATATATCTACACTCCCCCCCATTCTCTAGTAGCACTGCAAGACTTGCTTATTTTATGTAATAAAAACAGTCATGAGGCCATCATTGAAAAATAAGAAATATTAAAACCCTAAAACCTAATACCGTGTTTCCCCGAAAATAAGACTCTGTCTTATATTTTTTTGAACCCTGAAATAAGTGCTTGGCCTTATTGGCATGTGCTCAAAAGCCCGATTGGGCTTATTATCAGGGGATGTCTTATTTTGGGGAAAACAGGGTACACTTGTTACATGGAGCCAATAAAGGCAAAATGCCTGAGTGAAAAAATAGGTTTTTTAGCCCTTTCTAAGGTGTAAAAAGAGGCCAAATTAAATTTTAAACAGCATCATCATGTTGTTCACCAAATTGGTGAATTATGAAATATTCTATATCATTTGAAAGACCCAAAGATGGCTTTTAAGTGCGGTCCTCATCACCATGTTGTGTTGTGGAATTTAGAAAACTTGCCTGCAGCAAATAAACAATGGTCTGGGTAATTTCAATAAAATGGAATCCTTTGAATCCCTCATAACCGAAACTGGGAAAGGATCCAGAATGCAAGAAGTAAGACAAAGAGATTCAAGAACCTTATCTGTTTCCCCAGGAGACAAACTATGAAACTAATTAAGGTTACTAGACAGTTTGGTGGATACCGTTGGATACTATCACTCAAAATGACAAAAACTATCTATAACCTTGCTGGTAATGGAATGCCCATTGCCTGTTCAAAGCAATTCTCACGTGGGACATGGATGCCAGCCAGAACCACTATAAACTGGGCCATCTGCCCAACAACCTGTGTTCCTCTTTGGATGCAGTCAGAAATGAGACCTGTTGCTTCTGATTTTAAAAGGGAATGAGACAAATTAATCAATAGTAAGTCAATCAATAATTGGTAGCTATAGCATTATATTTTACTTTTAAAAAACACACATAAGGGCTCTTGAGATAAGCTGCTGGGACATGTGCTGGGGATGGTGCCCGTGCTCAGATCTTGCTTCTTGACTTCTCAGAAGCCTTTGGATGGCCAGATTGATGATGCAATATTTTTTTTATTTATACATTTCTTTATGCTGGATTTTTTTTGTCTTCAGTGGGAAGTATTGATGGCCCCCAAGGTCTATCACCTTCCTCCCCTAAGTTAAGAGAGTCAGCAGATAGCACAATTTTTGATTGCGTTTAACTAGGGTGCAAATTATGGTTTTTCGGAAGTAACAGGATAGTGACTCATGCCCTTATTACCACACAGGTAGATTTCTATTACCATGGTCTATATGGGTTTGTTTTTGAAAACTGCAGGTAGTGCAAAATCCAACTGCTCCCTTGCTGTCTGGCACTGATTGCTACAATCACATTACACATATCTTGTGGCTTCACATTAGATTTCTAGGTGCAATTCAAAATGTGTGGTTTGATTGTAATGGCTTAAAACCAAGGTACTTGCAAGACTGCTTACTCTGAACAGTGCCAGTTCCAACCTACCCTCCCAGGAGAAATTGTAGTGGTGACCATTTTTATCGTCGAGAGAGCCTAAGCTACAAAATGTTTTTCAACCATGAAGTCTATACTTTAACAAGTTTCCTTGTATATCTTAAATGGTTCCCTTGGTAACAGCCTTCCTGGAAGCTAACAAAAGCTGAACTATTCTGGAGGATTTGGGGATGTGATTGTTCATCATGATTATTATGTTTTATTATGATTTATTTTAACTGTTACTATTATGGTAGCATTTTGCTTTATGAGCTGCCTTAGAGTTTTGGCATTATAGGGATTGTGGGCTAAATTCATTTACGTACATGTGTGTGTATATTTATAACACTATTGTGGATGCTTTATTGTATTTTTTATGGTTGGAAGCTGCCACAAGTCACAATGATTCAGTGGCATACTAATGTAGTAATAAGCAAATAAATAAATAAAATATCTCTAAACTAAAGATTCCTGCCAACTTGAGGAGGTTTAGAAATATAGAAAACACATAAAAACAATAAAATAAACTCCACAACAGAACACACCAGGCATGATATCTGAGTATTATAGACAACATCATCCATATGGATTTGTCCACCTTCAAGAATATGGAAAGGGAGAGAGGTATTCAGATATCTGGAGGCAAAGTCTTTCATAACACAAAAACCCAGCACTTCTGAGCACCTTATCTCTGATTTCGTTTGGTTCTGGAGAGTCCTTTTGCACTGCCTATACAGGACAGATTGTTTCTTTCTGGCGTAGGTGGTCCTGGAGATATCTGGGTGCCAACCAATATATTTTATTTGTTTGTTTGTTTGTATGTATGCTGCCTTTTTTATTTTTACAAAAAACTCAAGGTGGTGAACATGTTCAACACACTTTCCTCCTTCTATTTTCCCTACAACAGCAATCTTACGAGATGAGTTAGACTCAGAGACTGACTTTTATGACTAAGGTGGGACTTGATCTCACGATCTCCCGCTTTCAAGGCTGGTGCCTTAACCACTAATATGCAGGGTACTTGAAATTGTCCTTGGACGCCTATTGGTAACCAATGCAATGCTCACCACCCCTATCTGTTGTATAGCACTGCTGGCTTTCACCATCCAGTAAACAGGCTGCTACACTCTAAATGAATTGCCGCTTTCAAGTAGTCTTCAAAGGCAGCCCCAAGTAAAGCACACTGAAGTAGTTGATCTGTGAAATTCTTATGGTTTTAATACTGGAAAAATAGTATACACTACACAGATGGCATACCACATTAATATAGCTGCCATGTGGAGCAATTTGAATTGCAAAACTGACATTTTGATGGATGGGTTTGTTCATTTTTTGGGGAATTGCAATGGAAGGAAGTAACATTAAGGAATAATGGAAGGGTTATGTTTTGCTGAATATCTTAAAATAATGCACTAGCAAAGGTTGATCCAGGTTGATTCAAACTACAATCCTAATCAGGAGCCGAATTTTCATCTTTCCTAGCTACAAGTAGTATTGAAGCTTCTTCAAGTATACCATGTATAACAGTGGTGGGATTCAAGTAATTTAACAACCGGTTCTTTGCCCTAATGATTACTTACAACAACCAGTTTGCCAAATTGCTGAGAAAGTTAACAACCGGTTCTCCCGAAGTGGTATGAACTGGCTGAATCCCACCACTGATGTATAAGTTGGCTTTGAGGGGTCCTCAATGCTCTCTGAACTTGTTTGTTTTCTTGCAGATCTTTCATTACCCAAACTAGGTACATCATCAGTGCTAGCAGTGCTAGGTAAAACATTGGCTAGAATACAAGCAAGCTCAGAGAGCACCGAGGACCCCTCATTTCAATCCTGAGCTACAAATATTCTCCTTTATGAATTGGTTCTGTTCAAGATCAACATTCTTCTATTGTGGTATCCAAGATTTTGTAATAAAACAGTTTCCAGTATTTTGCACTGAATGAGTCTGAGTTCCATCTTTAACATCCCTAGTGCACAAATAATTCACAGATGGGTAACGCTGCTAAGACATAGTGGGGTTACACTTGGATTCAGCTTTTGTATTGTGATAAATTGGACTTATTTTTATGTAAAAACTTACCTTGTAGCCCTTTAATGGCCCTTTCTCTATATGGTTGCTTTGACACTTAAGTAGAGCAGCACACTATCAGAAGTAACATGCTGCTTGTTACCTTGCTAAGCTAAAAAGAATGGTTCAAATTCATAACTTGGATACTAAATATCAGATCTGCTTTTCTCTCATATAATGTCTAAAGCAGCATGACATGTAGCATGCACAGTAAAGGATCCAGATCACTCCTCAGTTGTGGCAGATTTGAAGTACCGTACAAAATATAATTGTTATACTTTAATAAAT